TTTAGGGTTTAGGGTTTAAGAGCTGCGAAGTGAGCACACAGATCTGGGCTTTCAACTTGTCGTGGTGGAAAACCAACCCAGAGGCGCTATACCTACGACCATTATGGAATTAATGTAGGGGCCTGAATAACTAGAATAGGGCTTTGGGGTCCATTGTGCTATAATTATAATCAGGAGCCCCCAAAATGTGCCCCAAAATAGTATTGGTAATTATTTAGGCGCCTAGACCATCCTTGTTATGGCTTTAAGGACCTAATTCCACAATGGTAGTATATATGGAGCCTCTGGGCAAGCTTCATGCTGAGAGGAAGGGAAGAGCGTCATGCTAGGAGGAGATATTTGCTTCATCGGGTCTGTAATATAAGGGCCTTAATAACTTCAACAAGCTTTTGGGGTATGTTATACACTCAGTATGATAAGGAAGCCTAAGGAAAACCATTGGTAATTGTTCCGACCCCTATAGTACGTGCAACCACTGTGGCATGGGAATCCAGCGTCCTTGCGCAGAAAAAACCCACTATCGGCATCTCTCTCTAGAAGACCTGATATCCGAAAACTGCCGCATTGTTGCACTCGCCAAGAAGCTGTCCTCTGGGGCCACGGCGTTCTGCGAGATCGTCCAGGATTTGCACCTTCTGCTATAGGTTCCACTAGCTTAACGGCTGCTCCTGGATAAGAAGCCAACCTTCGACAGCAACCCTGTCCTGGTTCCTAAGCAACAAAGAAAAAAAAGGCGCGCCTCGTGCTTGGGGAACAACGTGGTGGCTGTCTCCCTTGCTCGCCGCAGGGGCGAGCACGCCACCCTGATCACCTTCGGAATCTTCCAGAGGGCTAACAGCAGGACACAGGTCAAGTTGAACTCGGTGTTGAAGATGAACTTGATGATACCGCGAATGCTTGTAGCAGTGAGCTGCAGACTGTGCTTGGGATTCAAAAGCCACCTTCTTTTGAATTTGATTTTCCAGCTCAGTAATCTGCCATTAAAGTTTAGGGCCTAGGGCTCAACTCGAAGGTGAGTGAAAAACACCGTCTATACGCGAGAGGCGTGGGGCATTGGTGCTGCATGCAATGCCAAAACCCTTGCATCCAGAGACTTACATCCCAAAGCCCCGTATTCCATTCCAATGCATATTACGACAAACTGCAACTGACAACAACGAAAGCAAAAAAATGCCCAAGGCCATCAACACTAGCCTCAAAAACAAGCAGGTTGCGGAAATCCCATGCACAATAAAGACTGAGAGATATGGCCATGGATCTCAAAAAATCCTGAAGACTCAAAGCCTTCAATCCCAAGAACAACGCTTCCCCCGGCCCCCGCCCTTCCAGGGCCCTTGAAAAAGTCCTTTTGAGGAACCCGTTCAGGTTTAGGGCTTAGGAACCCGACCTGTGGCAAGCTCCCCTCCTGCTGGGCGGCCACCTTGGCGAAGGTGTGGAGCTTTAGGATTCAAGGCTTAGGGTTTGGGGTTTAGGGTTTAGGGTTTCAAGCTTTAGGGTTCTGTTCCTTCAAGGGCTCAGGGTTTTAGGGGTTGAGGCCTCCGTAAGGGGTTGCCTCGAGGCTCCGGGTTCCTCTAAGCGCTTCAAAAATGCCCCTCAACCCTACACCTCAAAAGACGACATCCCACACTCAGCCCACCATTGGCGCCGTCTCTTAGCATCTGGTCAATCGGAAGAGTCCATCCTCTCCTCTGGGACGGGCGTGAACTGTTCAGAGCCCTGAGAGGCCATGTTGGTAGAAGGCAAGGTCTCGAATGTGAAGGATGTTATCTCCGGAGTGTCTTTGGGAATCTGGATCAAGGCTAAAGCCTCCAGGTCGGCGATCACCTGCAGCCGGCGTAAGAGTCGAGACAGCCTGCATGGCCCCGGCAACCAAATAGTTTAGATGAACCGGGCAGCGCAATTTCCTCAGCCCTGCACCCTCTAGCCCAAGACGGTTTAGGATTTAGGGTTTAGGGCTTAGGGTTAACAACAGCAGTGGCAGTGGCTCGCAAAAATGAATTTCAGTGATTTTTCGGCCCACAAAAGACCCAAACAGCAGGAAGACACTTGAACAAGGTACCTCTAATTTACGAAACCCACATTAAGCCCCGACAGCAACAAAGCAGATCCCTTGCAAAACGCTCAAAAGCACGCGAACTAACGTATACTTGCAAAGTCCCTCTTGGACAACACCCCTTTCTAAAGCACAGTTTAGGGTTTAGGGTTTAGGGCTGTGAACTAAAAGAACCAAGACCCCCAGCCAGGCCGGTTGTCAAACCAGGCTGTCTACAGATATCCTAACTACTCAAGCGTAAGCTCCACGTCCCAAAACCCCAAATCCCTGAACCCTAAACCCTGAACCTTAAACCCTAAACCCTAAACACTAAACCCTAAACCCTGAACCTTAAACTCTGAATCCAGCTCCCCACGTACCCCTGAAACCTAAACTCGAAAACCTTTACCCACGAACACCCTAATGTAGAAGCCTTAATAGCTAAAACAGCGTTTTGGTGTATGTTATACTGTAAAAATAAACAGGAACCCCAAACATAACATAGGTGGTTCCCCCAACCCTAGCTCCTAGACCCGAATCCCCGAACCCCAATGCCCGGGCACCTTCCTTCTTAGGGTTCCGTACCATGATCTCTTTATAGAAGTCCTGAAAACTGTAGGTTAATTGAAGTCCTTAAAACTGTACGTTATTTGAAGTCCTTGAAACTGTAGGTTGTTTGGGGCCCGGGTATGCCCTAAAACCGAAACCCCCAATCCCCAAACGACCAAGATCCGGGCCAGTCGAAGCCGCAACTGCTCCGCCTGTGTAGCGAAGGGCGGGTGAGTTCTGCGAGTAACTATGGATATAGGGTTTAGGGTTTAGGGTTTAGGGTTCAGGGCTTTGGGCTTAGGGTTTAGGGTTTAGGGTTTGCAAGTAACTATGGCTATAGGCAAACTCACTCTACTTATAGTTACAACAAACTCCAATTGAGATACTTATAGCCTCACTTGCTAAGTGCCATGATCTTCCAAGTAGAGGGCGTTGAAGGCTATAGGATTCTACAGTGTCTTAAGTCATCACAAAGCCCTATAAACCCATAAACCCTGAACCCCTACACCCTAAACCCCTAAACCCTTTTATGGGGGTGTCTGGACTGAAAGACCATATCTTGTTGAGTTTGGCGGATGTGCGGAGGTTTAATGTGTCGAACATAGAGGCCTTGATAGTTAGAATTGGGTTTTTGGACATATTGTAGTACAGTTATGTCGTGGAGCCCTACGGAATAGTATTTGTAGTTATTCCAATCCCTACATCACCTGCAGCTTCCAATACATTCTAATCAAAGAGTACTCCTAAAATCAAAGAGTATCAGGGATCCGATCATGTTTCAAAGTATTTTCCTTTGTTTGTGAACGGCCCCATAAACCTATAGACCCCTTGTCATACCCTCAAAGGAACCCTTCCTCTATTAAGGAATACTGGGAGATGTAACCCTAAACCCTAAACCCTAAAATCCTAAAACCCTAAAATCCTAAAATCCTAAACCCTTAAACCCTAAACCCTAAACCCTAAAATCCTAAACCCTAAAATCCTAAAATCCTGAAACCCTTAAACCCTAAACCGCCTGCCAGCGCCCAGTCGCCGTTAGACCGGCATCTTCCAGAGGCACCTGAAGAGGCGCGGAGCTGGAGTTGTTTAGGGCTTAGGGTTTAGGGTTTAGGGTTTAGGGTTTAGGGTTTAGGGTTTAGGGCTTGGGGTTTAGGGGTTGGGGTTTAGGGCTTTGGGTTTCGGTCTTAGGGCTTAGTATGGGTTTTGGGTTTTTGAGGTTTCGGGCTTAGGGCTTCGCTTCAGGGTGTAGCAAGGGTTTCGGATTTTAAGGCTTAGGGCTTGGGGCTTCAGGGTTGAAGTACAAAAGGGGTTTGGGGCTTAGGGTTTAGGGCTTAGGGCTTTCGGGTGTAGTAAAGGTTGAAGGTTTCGGGGCCGACTGTTGAAGCCGCGGTGGCCCAATATTGAACGCCTCTCTTGAAGAAGGTACATCCCGGATGGAGACTTGGGAAGCCGGAGTGTCGCCCTAAACCCCGCAACACCTCAACCCTAAACTCTAAACTCTGACTGAATCCTAAACCCTAAACCCTAAAATCTAAACTCTGAGTCCTAACCTCTAAACCCTAGACCCTAAACCCTCAACACCAAAGCCTCGCACCATTCACTTAAGTCCCAGAAGTTTTAGTCTACACAGAAAGTGCACGGCATTTTTCTGGAAAAACTGCAACACTCACGACAACCCTAATGGGGGTTGAGGACTTAGGGTTTGGGTGTACATTGTGGTATAACTATATGACGGGGGCCTTAGTAGAACAGGATGCTGGTGTAATTTGAAGTATAACTATACGTACGGACGCCGAGGGAATGCTATACGTCTTTATTCCGACCCCTATAGTACGCCTGGCTAGTGCATGCAAATGAGTCTATGGACCCTTATAGGACCCATGTAGATCCCTTAAAGGAACCTCATAGGAGTGGTCTTGGAAGGGTTTTTTGTCAGTGCACGGCATTGGGCGCGACGAACTTTCCGACGTGCACAGCAATGGTTAGTAATATTGGAATCGGTTTAGGGGTTCAGAGTTTAAGGCCTACGGTTTAGTGCGAAAAGTAAGATGAAACTAATCACGACAACAACCAGCGCCATCTTCCTTCCGCTGCCGGGAAGTCGAACCCATCTTGAAGATGATGATGACTAAACCCTGGGCCCTAAACTGATAATAATGACTGAACCCTAAACCCAAAACCCGAAACCCTAAACTGATAATGATGACTAAACCCTAAATCCTAAACCCTAAACTGATACTGATGACTGAACCCGAAGCCCCATAAAAATGGCTAGGGCCGGAGCTTTGGCCTCAAAGGCGGGACGTCCTTCCTTAGCTCGCTCGTGGTGGTTTAGGGTTCAAGGTCTAGCGGCTTAGGGTCTAGGGTTTAGGGTTTAGGGTTTAGGGTTTAGGGTTTGGGGCTTAGGGTTTAGGGTTTAGGGTGTAGGGTTTAGGGTCCCAGGTATAGTTCTACGGGGTCCTTACCCTAAACCCTAAACCCTAAACCCTTGAAGGGCCCAACCCCCACGATAGTATAGGTAATTATTCAGGCTTCTATATTATGCATACTCCAGCTAAGTAGAACTTTCATGGTTTAGGGTTTAACGTCGAAAGAACTGAAACCCCAAGCCGTAAATCCTCAAGCCACCAAACACTCAGCCTCTAAATCGCCGAAGCCTTCAAAAACCCGATACCTCGTCGAAACCCCTCAAACTGCCGAAGGAACATCGAAGCCACGGTCTAGGGCTTAGGGATTTAGGAACAGCTACAGGCATCAGCCGGGTCGTTCTCAAATAAGGGCCGAGCCATTTGAGGCTTAGCACCCCGCAAGCATCAAACCCTCGACCCTAAACCCCCTAAACCCTAAACCCCAAACCTAAACCCCAAAACCCTAAACCCTAAACCCTAAACCGTACCCTGCACCCCAAACCCTAAACCCTAAACCTCGCAAGCATCGAGGGCATCGGAGCTCAGGCTTCAGTTTGGGATGTCCGAAACTGAGTTCGAGGCTTACAACTTGAGCTTCGGGGTTTAGGGTTAAGCGCTTAGGGTTTAGGGTTCAGGGTTTAGGGTTTCGGGTTTAGGGTTTAGGGTTTTCTTGTTTAGAGCCTAGGGTTCGGGGTTTGAACTTAGCTTCTAAGATTTAGGGTTTAGTGTTTAGGGCCTAGGGTTCGAGGAATAGGGGTTCAGGGTGGAGGGGCCTAGGTCTAGGGCTTGCACGTAATTGTGAAGGATCCGTGGAAAGCTGGCGAAACCCTAAACCCTGAACCTTAAACCCTAAATTGAGACTCTTTTCCGCGGTGATGATCAGTTCCTCTGTCAGCTGCAAGCGACATGAAAGTCGATGCAGCCAAGCCCTAAATCCTCAACCCTACTGCAAGGACGGTGGGACTTGGGAAGCATGTTAGAAGTGTCTAAACCCTGTAGCCCAAACCCAAAGCCCTGATCTCTGCTGTGGGTCGTTCCAATCTCGCGTAACCAACTCGTATCCAGCTTCCCAAGCCCATCTAAACAACATACGATCACGAAGGTGCAGCTGCACGAGCACCTTCTAGTAACCCTATAGAAACCCCCACAGTAGCCTGGAAGTAATCGTATAGTAAGCCTTACAGAAACCCCATACTAAGATTGTGGTAACCTTCTAGTAGCCCTATAGAAACTCTGTTGTAAAGTTATGGTAACCAAGTAGCACTACACAGTACCTCTAGGGACTCATCTCCTAAACCCTACACCCTAAACCCTAAAACCCTAAAACCCTAAACCCTAAAACCTTAAAACTCCAAAACCCTAAAATCCTAAAACCCTAAACCTTATAACCCCAAGGTCCACGCTCTGATCCTTTGGGCTTTGAGGGCTTCCGGCTTTCCAGCTCCTTTGGCTGAGACCTCGCTGTGCCCCACCCCAGAGAGCCCAATACCACCGAAGTCAGGAAGATGGGAGTTTCCGAGGTACCTTATTTTGCGGCCCGTACAAATACGGGTCCTACTATTTAGCTACGATATTGGGGTCCCCTATTTTCGGAAACTCGCATATGTAGCTCAAACGACATGTGTGCTTCTTGGTAATGATATACAAGTTGATATAAGGCATATTACGAAGAGGGGTAGAAATCTGCCTTAAACTATGCAAAGCTTCTTCTTGCGATTTCAGGCATATTCCTCAATTCAGGGGCCCCTTGGGCTTTCTGGTGCTTCCAGGCTTTGTCCACATACGCAAAAGGAAGGCCAGCTCAAAGAAATTGCGAGAGGCAACATAGGACAGAACCTTCTCCTGTGCTGTTTTCGGAGGGTATTTGGGTTTAGGGTTTAGGGTGTTCCTTCGTACGCCTATTCTAGGTTTTAGACAGACAAAACGGAGACTCCACAGTATGCTCAAGAACGGCTCAGTCTCCTTGTCGGCTCCACGATCCATGAGCAGACAGGCAACCTTGATAAGTGTAAGGGTTTAGGGTCTAGGGGTTTAGGGTTTAGGGTTTAGGGTTTAGGGTTTAGGGTTTAACCTTCATAGGTGTAAATCCCAAGAATCGACACCCAAACCCAGCAACCAAAAACAAAAGAAAAGACCCTAAACCCTATAGCTCCTAAGCCTTCAACCCTCAACCCCAAACCCTAAACCCCAAACCCTAAACTCCAAAACCCTAAACCCCAAAAAACCCTAAACCCTCAACCAAACCCTGAAACCTCAACCCCAAACCCAAAAAAACCTACAGGCCTCCCAATGGTCATGGAGAAGGGCGAGGAAAAGAGGAGCCTCGCCATCTGAGTTTGGCTTGTCAATATCCACGCCTCGGCTCCGGGATTTCGTAAGCCAAATTCAAGGGTTGATGGGTTTAGGGTTTTAGGGTTT